TCATTTTACCGTCCTTGAAACTGAGTCAACCTTGAGCCTGTCGGGATCAAACTGCTGGCAGTGGGCAGAGTTTGCCTGCAATACTGTATTCTAACCAATCTAGAACTAAGGAGTAATTTCCTGACAGTGAGAACAAATACCTCTGGATATTGTGGATGCTCCATCACTGGAAGTTTTCAAGAAGAGATGGGACAACCATTTGACTGGGATGGTATAAGGTCTTCTGCCTTGAGAAAGGGGTTGGACTAGAAGACCTCCAAGGTCCCTTCCAGTCCTAGAATTCTAAGTTCTACCCGTTCTCCAATGTCTTGGGCAGGGACCGTTTCTGTTCTGCCACCCTTTAAGTTGGATACCCAACATCCAATATAATCGTGGTTGTATTGTGGTTATAGAACGACGGAAGGGAGGGAAGTGATTAAATCCACAGGGAAGATCAGATATTCATTTTGTTTTTAATGAACATTCTGTCCAATCCAATCCAATTCATTTTCAGCCGTTATTTTCTCGACCAGCTCTGGCATTCTTTCTGGCTGTGACTCAACCCATCTCTGAAAAGGCAAGGACACACTCTTGTGTAAATTTACAATGGGAACTATTAAGGATTGGAAGGAGCACCTTGTGAGTGCCAAGAACGTTCCTTCCCGCTTTGGAGAGCAAGTCTCTGGTGTTTAGCGATTCTGATGGCTTTCCTAATCCACACCCTGTGTTGTCTTCAGATTCCTTGGAGGAAATTCTGCCCCATTAAAACAAGTCTTGTGCTTCCGTCTCCGAAGTGGATTGTTCGTTCGCCAGCCTTCTGTTGCTAATTTCATCTCGGCTGCTATAAAGTATTTGTGGATGTTTGGGGGACAGCTGGCAGCAGACTGGTGAAAATGGGATAAATCTAAGCAGCTTCAATTGACTCCATGTGAAGTTTCCGAGGAAAAACCCACTCTTAAAAATAAAAGTAAAATAAAAGATGAGATCAACCCCGATTGCTCTTTAGAAGGCCAGATCCTGAAGTTGAAACTCAAGTACTTTGGCCACCTAATGAGAAGGAAGGACTCAACTGGAGAAGAGCCTAATGCTGGGAAAGATGGAGGGCAAGAGAAGAAGGGGACGACAGAGGATGAGGTGGCTGGATGGAGTCACTGAAGCAGCAGGCGTGAGCTTCAATGGACTCCAGAAGATGGTAGAGGACAGGAAGGCCTGGAGGAACGTTGTCCATGGGGTCGCGATGGGTCGGACATGACTTCGCAACTAACAACAATAAAAAATAAAAGCTACCTCTGGAATGAAATCCGGGCTGAAACAAATGCCTTGTGCCATTCCAGTAGGGTGAGAAATCCATGGGATCTGGTCAATGCCTGCTTGTTGCAGAAAATCCAGGAATTTCTCCAGAGAAGAGAAGCCCACCCCATGTCTAAGAAGCTGAGAAGTCAACCAGATGTCTCCTAGATGCTTTGAACTCTCCTGTTTCCTTCTCATTGTCCGTTTGGACAGGGCCAGCGTGGTTGAAGTCTGAAACGTTGGTTGAACCAGCCCAAAGGCCACCGGTTGAATTGATGTTGGTCTCTTGAAGCTTCTCTTGAGGTTCAACCCAAACCCAACTCATGGCTTTCTTGATGTGGGGGTTGATCCCAAAGATCTGAGAATCCAATCCTCCTCTCTAGGTCATAGTTTCTGGCATTGACGTGCTCTCAGGATAAAGATATTTCTTTCTAACGTTCATCTGGACTCCACCATCTTTAGCTGAAAGCCGGTTGAGTTCCCGTCCTTCAGGCAGCAGCAGAAGAAAAAGAAGCTTTTGGCTCTTGATCTACATGCTTGTTTTTTGTCCATTTTTATTTTTTATTTTTATTTTGCTCTCAGCAGCGTTTCTGTGTTAGCAAGCCATTTGAGGGAAATTGTTCTTGACCGGTGGTTCTAAGCGATGCAGACATTTTTTTCTCCTAGCCGCACAATAACTGATATTCAAATACAGTAACCTCTCATGATGGAGTATTGTATCTGGCTTCGGAAAAATCAGCAAAGCCACCCTCTCCTGACCTTTTCTGCTTTGGAAGGGATGGATTGTTCTTCCCTCTCCACGAAGCCTTCATCTCAACATATTTCATCAGCTAATTGGGCCGGAGGAATTGAAACCTTCATTATTATTATTATTTTTCCCCCTGAATGGATTTCTAAAATCAGGAAATTGCACTTTGGTGTCGGGTGGGTGGGTGGCTGGGTTTTTTTTTTCTTCCCCTCCCCATCTGCTTTACAAAAGCCACCCCTTCTATTCGTAAGGAATTGCTTCCTTCCTTCCAAATGTTTTTTTAAAAATGTGATTTTTTTTTAATTGAAAGCTCAAATATCCATTATAAACATTTAGCTCTCGGGATGCAGTCCTGTAAAACATCAAATACCAAAAACAAAAAAAAAGTCAATGTTATATTACTGCACCTCAATTTCTCCTTAGAAATGTCACAATGGCTAATGTAAGAGCAGGCACGTGGATGCATTTAAACCTTAATTAACTGAAGTACTTAGGAAAACATCCATTTGGTTAATAAACGGTCAACACTCTGCAATTCACAAACGATATCTCTGTCTCTTTAAACTGACATGCCTCTTCTGGACTTCCCAGTTCTTACTGCTAGCAAGCCAGATTAGTTTGAGGGATGGGTTTTGTAGTTCCTCATATTGGAAAATCCCACTTCGTGGTGCTGGCCTGATCAATGAAAAATCTGTAGCTCAGGGTTTGATCTGAGCTTGGTGATTTGCTGGCAAACATTTCATTACTCAACTGAGTTTGCAATTGGAAATAAACA